TTATTAATAAATTTATATTTTTAGGAAAAAGTTAAAAATTCCAAAAATTTACTATGGAACAAGAACTCATAAGCAGATCGAACAAGTCGTGAGGGAATTGAAAAAGACCTGTTATAAGCACAAAAAGTAATAACTTTTTCTTTTCTTAATTACATAGAATGATTTTTTTTTAGGACAAACGATTATGTAGTAATTTTTCTAGAATGACTATTTTGAGCAGCAGGGAGCACACGTGTATCCAAGAGTCCACTAGGAATAAAACGGACCTTTGCAACGACCTACTGGATCCTACTAAGGTTTGCTCTCATTCATATTGCAAAACTAACTACTGTGTGATAGTTCGTCGAGTTTTTTTCAAGTAACTTTCTCCGGTGAAAACTTTCTTCAAGTTCTTTCAGAAAATTTTCCAGATTAAAAATGGATGAGAATTTTTTTATAGCGCCAATCGTGTCCTTTTTACAACGACAACAACAAGAAGACAATTTCCTCGTTTCCAGCTGTCGAAAATCGAGGATTAAATGCAGTATGGGACATCGAAGATCTAGTAGCCATAGGAAAGAACGAAGGATTATGTCCATACTTCGCTGCAAGAAGCTTAATGGAACACGCAGACATTATTTTCTGTCCTTATAATTACATCGTTGATCCTGACATTCGTGAAAGTGTGAGTTTCCATAGAGCAATCTAAAAAATTCGACATTTTTCATTTATCAAATATTTCATCAATGATATTTTCTGGCTTTTTTCAGATTCAGCTCGATTTGAAAGATCAAGTGATCATTTTGGACGAGGCTCACAACATAGAGGATATTTGTAGGGAAGTTGCGAGCGTGACTTTTCGTGAGGATCACCTCGCAAGTACTGCACACGAATGCGAGAGCCTTGCGAAAACGAGAGCCGCGGATTTTTCGGTTTATGATACTATCAAAGTGTATATCCAGAAATTGGTGAAATTTCTGAAGAACATTGGTCTTGAAAAACATGTAAGTTCATCGTTGTTTCCTAATATTTAATTTTTTTTTTTTCACTATTATTCATAGATTCGATATTTCACTGTACCATAAAAAAGTTGAGAATTCAAAGATAATGGATGTTTTCAGCGGGACTACAACAGCGATAATTTATCGAGCCCTTACTGGACTGGTGCAGAGCTTCAGGAATTATTCAATATGCACGAGCTCGGCGAATCCGCTTATTTGACGTTTCTGGCGGCTAGCAAAGCGGCGATCGCAGATTTGAAGAAGGCGAAAGAGGAGAATAAAATGTTTTTGAAAACGGTGAAACCGGTCATTTCTCCCAGCACCAAGATCGTCATCGAGCACCTAATGTTTGCCATACGAATGGTCACCTCTGAGCAGTACATGAACGACTATAGGGCTTGTGTGACTGAAACCACCGTGAAAGATTTCAAATACGTAAGTATAATTTTTTTTTTTAATTTTCTCTAAAACAGTTGAAGGAAATGTAAATCTTCTCAAATTTCAACTAACGACCAAAAATGTGGAATATTTTCTTAAAGTAATATAATATTTCCAGAAATTATTTTTCCCTAAAATTTTATCATTTTTTGTTACTTGACATTTCAGGCAACTGATAACACGTGGTATTCAGCGAAGAAACAAGAACACCGTGCAAGATCGCTGAAGTTATTATGCATGAATCCTGGTGTAATATTCTCACCGTTAGCAAATAACGCTCGCTCTATAATCCTCGCGTCCGGTACTCTGACTCCTGTATTGTCCTTCCAAAGCGAATTAAACACACCGTTCGTGCACGTGTTGAACACTGGACACGTGATACCAAAGGAGCAAGTTTATGCAACCTGTGTGCCAAAAGGGCCTAATGGAATCTATCTGAAGGCTAATTATCAGAACGTGAACAGTTGGGGCTTTCAGGTGAGTACTATGCCTGTATTTGCAAATTGTAGCTTTGTTCACTGTAAATATTGCTCTCCTCTCTATTGGTTTCAAATTGAACATTTAAAAATTATATTTTTTTTTGGAACACCCGGTATATGTATTATGGTTCCATATTTTTCATTAGGATGAACTAGGAAAAATGCTAGTAGATGTCTGCGAATCTGTGCCCCATGGAGTCCTCTGTTTCTTCTCCTCCTACAACGTGTTGCACACACAAATGGACAGATGGAAGAGCAATTTCATTTGGAACAGGATCGCCAGTGTCAAGCAAGTATTCATAGAACCACGTTACTCTGGTGATCTCACGGCAATTATGAAGGAATACCGTGAAGTGATAGAGGAAACCTCGTCTGGACCAAGAGGAAAAATCAATGGAGCTTTACTTCTGGCAGTTTTCAGAGGAAAGGTTGCTGAAGGAATTGATTTCAAGGATGATGAAGCTCGTTGTGTAGTCACTGTGTGTTTCCAGCATTTGAGTCGGTTAAAGTTCATTTACAAGTCATAGAGAAGCTTGAATTATTCTTTTACAGGTTGGTATACCATATGGAGTGAGGAAGGACCCGGTGATTGACATGAAATTGAAGTATAACGACATGAATGTCAAGAGAGGTCTATTGAGAGGCTCAGATTGGTACTCTATACAGGCATTCAGAGCTCTGAATCAAGCACTAGGACGTTGCTTGAGACACATTCACGATTGGGGAGCAGTGTTGCTGGTAGACGAAAGGTTCGTATGATTTAATAGAATGTAAATAGAATCTTTTGACTTGAAACGTTTGACGATATTGATTGGAATGTTCCTTAGGTTTCTGCAGTCAGAGAACAAAGAAAACCTCCCAAAATGGGTCAAAACGATGGTAATTTTTGTACATATTGTACATATTGATCGATGATATATATATATAGATACTAGTAGTTTTATTAAATGATTTATTTACAGTGGATCAGGCACAACGAGTACAACTTAAGGGAGGATCTTCGGAAGTTTGTGGCGAAGCAGAAGGCAAAAGGAAGGAAAGAATAAAGTGACTTAATTTAGGGAGTATAGTTATATTTAAAGACTGTTTGCATATGATGAATTCTCGTGGTGTTCAGGAGATTATTAACAAGTGAAAAGGATATTTAACCCTTTTCAGTTTAAGTCTTTCAGCTTTATGATGAAGACATTGAATGGAATGAATTTACCAACACATAAATACATCTGATCTTTCTTTTAATTCAAAAAAAAAAAAACATTTTACATGTCTTGAATAAGTAATATACAGGTTAATAAAAAAGGGAGAGGTGCTTAATTTTACTACAGATTGAGTGTGTCCCTTTTTTGTAGCATTCTGAGATGTTTCTTCTTTATTTTCCTCAGTTTTGAAGTATTGGTAATCTTACAATTTCACTCTTCCTCTGATTCTTTGCCGCACGCTGCAAATTTTGTCTCCTCCTCTCTTTTTTTGCTTCCTTCTGGGCTTCTTTTTCAGCTTTTATCGCTCTAGACATTTCCTTAACGCGCTTTAAATCTTCCCTTAATTTTTGTTTCTTGTCGAATGTCGAATGTATGCTGCGTGTTTTGATGGTCGATGAAAACCTTTTTTTTTTTTTTCCAAAATAGAGAACCAAAAAGTTAACCTCAAACATTGACTACCCGCAATAACATTTTAAATATATAATTTTTTTACGTACCTTTTTCTTTCCTCCTTCCATATCCTTCCAGATTTTGGTTTACCTCTAGGAATTTGTTGTTCTAATGACTTTTCCTTCTTAACTCTGACTTTCTTCGATGTAGAGTTGGAAGCGTCAGTATTATTCGTGTCATTATTTTCCGACGTATTATTGAGTATATCTTCCGCCCTTGTTATGTTTTCGTCAGTCGACATTTCATTAATAGTTTTTATTTTAACAATAACGAGTTTCTTGTATGTAAACAATTAATAGAGGTTAAGCATTCACGTGGATACAGAAGCCATATTGAAAATTATCTCTTTACACTGGAGCTATCTATCAAGAGATCCAGGAAACCTTTAGCCAAAGTTTCTTTATCTTAAATAATTTAAATAATTAAATTCTATTTGCCATTTAATTATGTTTTCTCTTAAATATAAATTTAGTAGAATTTACTGTGAATATTTTTATATATATTTATGAACAGGTTATAGAGATTCTTTCCGCTCATTTTAATTGTCCTTTCCGTTGTTAGATGTCACGATAATCATTTTATGCGCGTGTTTTTATTATTATCCAGTTATTTACTGTAAACATTTATTTATTTAAAATGGAATCTCTTCAGGAGATATGTCAATACTTAAACTCAGACACTCGATTAGATGTGAAAGCTATTGCTTTGGAACATGTACTCAGTGAGTAATTATACTTGAAGAATAATTCCTAACCTCTTATTCTTAATCTTTATCACAATCAATATTGAATATTAGGTGTAACTGGGACTTCAGAAGGACGAGAGTTATTATTAAAACTTCCTGATTTATTGTTACAATTAATTGCTCTAACCCAAGATTCCTCTGTAGCAATTTCTAATGATGCAGCTATGGCTTTGATAAACATAACTGCAGATGAGGCAGGAAGCAATGCTTTTTTATTGATTTCAGAAGCACAGCCCAACAATGGAAAATATAACTACAATTTAATACATGTTTGTATTAGGTAGACACATTGCTGAGTAATTATCATAATCTACTTCTTCATTTCTTAATTCATTCTTATTTTTCTCAGATTTATAATGGATAAAGAAAGTGTTCTAGCAGACCCATGCTGCATGATACTTTCCAATATCACCAGACCATTGCATTTAGTGGATAGAGTTGTAATACTCATTGAGAAAAGTGGCTATACATGGGACAGTATTGTGGCAGCATTCACTGCTAAACAATATAACAATACTGGTGCCAAGTTGCACTATTTGGGTCCTGTTTTCAGCAATCTCAGTCAATCTCCACATGTAAGAAGGTGAATTATCAATTGATATCTTTAATTTAGGTTTTATTACAAACTTGTATTTTTTTCTTACAAGTTTAATGTACACTTGAATATAGGTATTTAATGGATAGAGACCGTAGTGTTATCCAGAGACTGCTTCCATTCACAGAGTATACAGATAGTTTAATAAGACGTGGTGGTATAGTTGGTACATTAAAAAATTGTTGCTTCGATGTAGAGGATCATGAATGGTTATTAAGCCCTGAAGTGGACATTTTATCTTGTCTTTTATTGCCTCTGGCTGGGCCAGAAGAATTTGACGATGAAGACAATGATAAATTACCAATTAGTTTGCAATATTTACCAGAAACAAAACAGAGAGAGCCAGATTTAGACATTAGGTGAACAAATGTCTTTATACAGAGGTGAACAATGTTTTCAAACAGGAATTTTATCTTTCAATTATTTTAGAATCATATTACTAGAAGCTCTGGCTCAACTTTGTGCAACAAAAAAGGGTAGAGAAATATTGAGAGAGAAAAATACCTATGTAATACTGAGAGAGTACCACAAATGGGAGAAAAATAAAAATGCACTATTAGCCTGTGAAAATGTTGTGGATATTTTAATTAGGTACAGGATACCTGTTTTTATGACCTTCTAAAATTCATAATTTTATTATCTAATATTTTGTACGTATATATTACGCAAATTTCAGGACTGAAGAAGAGATAGGTTTGGATAATCTAAAGAACGTGGAGGTCCCCTCAGAGTATACCGAGAAATTCCACAAAATGGATCAAGACTTTATTAATAGTACATGATAAAGTGTCATTACAATAATAAGGAATGTTTCATTACCTCATACACATTGCATACAATGTACATAACTCTAATAAAATAACAATCTACTTCGTGTAAAGACAAGACTGCGCGTAGATGACGATATTGCACTGTTCCCTTCTTCGAGTAGTTTAATCTATCTTTAGTTAAGTTATCAGGTCCAGTATAGCAACAGAGGAATAACAAAATATTGATTTAAAAAAATGTAAAACCAACAACTGATCACATTCAACCACGAATCCTGCAAATTGAAACAATGATGCTACATTTTTTTTCTTCGTCAAAATTACGATTTTTTAAGAATTCGATAGACCTAAATAGATCAACTTTGATCTTTGAGTGATTATGAAGAAAGGTGAATCATACAAATGATGAATACAAGTACATGTAAAGTACTTATACGCATGTCCCTAAAGTAACGGAGCAAATTTTTTTTTTTTTCGTTTTTACTTTCTCCATAATATCTCAGGTGCGAACAGTGTATCGTTAATTTTAGCTCGCTCGACTCAGAGCCACTTTTGCTGAGATCAAGTCTCGCAGAAATGAGAGTATGGTACCGTTATGGGTAGGACTGGTACATTTCTGACACATTTCTGCGAAGCATGGAGAGAACAGTACCGTTATTAATTAATACTCGTGTATATGCACACGGTGTGTGTGTGCGCGCGCTCGCGCGCGTGTGTGTGTGTGTGAATATGTCAATGAGTTTATGCTTATACCAATTGAAGGCTCGACAAATTAAAATTGAATATCGATACATGATTTTTTAATCTTTTTCCTCTATGAAAAAATTCTTACGATAAAAATAGAAACTTTACTATTATCACTAGCATTCATGCAATCGTAAAAAATAGTTCACTCGTGTTAAACGTGTCCAATGGTATTTACACCTCTCTGCTAGATGATGTTGCTTTTTTAATAATAATTCTTTTTTTCATGTACGTATAAGAACCCACAAAATCTAACAAAAAAATTCCAGCGAAACATTGATTAATTTTCGTATACATTTTTCATGCTCTTTGGCACCTTATTTTTCCTTGAAGGTCATTGTAATGTCGTTTAAACATTTTTATGTAAAAAAGTTTAATAATTGTAGAATTTTTTCATCAGATCAAAGTGGTAGGGAAAATTGTTTAAGGAGTATGAACGATCATGGTAAATATCCTAGTCCAGCCTCCAAACTAATGGAACTTCTGATGCTGGAGGCGTTGCTGGCTCGTCTGCTAATCCTGTTCGCGTCAGCCCCAAAGATGGCGGCGATTTCTGCGCTCTTTTTTATCGAGAGTGCTTCGTGATGTCCTCCTGACCTATTGGAACAATGAGAGAGACACTTCTTGTCCCTGTCCGCGCCGCCAACGTATACCAAACGACCCTGAGTATCCCTGGCACTGACAACTAGCACCTTCTCGCTGTCTGAAGACTGCTGAGACTTCCGGCCCGGATTGAATAGGTCGTAATCCAGGGCGAGGTTGTTCGAACTGCCGTAGCTTGACGATGACTGCTTCTAGAAATGACCGAAAGTAACAAGAATTTCATTTATTCCTTTCAAATGAGTATGTATTGAGAATACTTCATTATATAAAAAAACATCTTCATGAAATACAGAAAAAGAAGCAATCGTAAAATATGAAGAAAAATTGCTTTCTTTGCCTGCTATAGCCTATATCGAATTATACATAGAAGTGCTTAAGGTCGCTCTCCTCACCACAAACGTACCATGATTCATCCCTATAGTTTCACTCTCAGTGATCTCTGTATCCTGTTAATACAGAAATCGCACGAAAAATGCAAATTATTGTGGGGTACTGAAAAATTGTATTCAGTCACCTCTTCAAAAAACAAAGATATGGATTTTTCTATGTGCATGGGTAACGTGACTCACCGACGATTTGTTAGTTTATTTACAATAGTCAAGTTACCTTGAGTACATCCAAACCTTGGGAAGGCGTTCGACTTCTGCCGGTTTTCGTCGCTCGAGTTCTGTCCGGGCTTCCGGCTCTGCTAAGAGTACCCTCAGAGGGCACTATGCCTCTTTGTCTCAGTTGTTCCAGTATCGTGGGTCGAATAGGTTGTCGAGCACAGTAACATTTGTTACTCTCTGAGCAGCTGTCTGTGTCACAAGCGCAGACCACTGTGTTTGGTGGCACCTGCGGCGTAGCTGGGATCCTCCTGGACAAAGAGCAGTAACACTTCTCCGCTGACACACAAGTACAGGACTCGGAGTCGTAGCTGCACTCACTGCAGCTCACGTACCCGCTGCTGCTCCTGTTGGCGGCTGCTCCTGCGTTTTTACTTAGTCTTCTGCCTGAAGAGATTGTGCATAATTTCATTCATTTATTTGTGAGATTTAAAAATATTTAATAAAAATACAGTATATGTAGAATATCCACTTACAAGTGTCACTATCTTCCGAAGTAGTGTGACAAGCGCCATTCTTGCTCGTCCTCCAGGAGGATTTCCTCTTCCCCAGCCTATTAGACAGCACACGGTTCCTGTGATTGTTCCTGGCATCGCAGGAAGAACTGCTGCCAAAACTGTCGTTCAATCTTCTCGCTGGGAAGATCACGGAAGTGAACTCTGTAGGTCCTCCCTTCAGCCTGGACACCGACCTCTTGATAGCCCTTCCAAGCAGACAGGTTCGACGACTGGATCGTCTTCGTTGTGGCCTTCGACGTCTCCTCATTATGCTGGCTGATCTCTGATAGAGCTCATCCTGTGTCAGTGTGGCTGCTAGTTTCAGCAAGAATTCTTTGTACAAGGGTTTCAGGTCGTTGAAGGACATCCCTTCAGGATCTGAATAATATAGTAAAAAGCTGTTCAATCTTCAAATAAATTATAATACTAATTATATTGAGAAAAATGTACAACAGGAAAAAATATGAATTTTTCTACTGGAAGATAATTGCAGCTACTCACCAATAATAGCAGCCAAGATATCATCGACACTGGTCAGACCTTCCTGGTTTCTAAATTCATCAAACAGCTCAGTAAATCCTAGAGGAGTGCCACCCTTGATGCTATTAGGCCTCCTAGCACTTCCAGGGTTTAAAAAGCTTCCTCTTCTAGGTAGCTCAACCCTGGTCATCAGATCACCTCTATCCACATCAATATCACTCTGGGATCTCTTCAATCTAGTCTCCTGAAGGATCTTCATAGCATCCTCAGACTTGCTGACAGGAGGTTCACTGCCAGCCCTGCTTCTCTTTCTCACTCTGGGCTGACTGTACTCTGGTATGTCCAAATTGGACGTCGAATCGCTCAGTTGCTTCTTCAAAGGCTTATCCATGGTAACCACTCTGCTCACTCTTTTCCCAGAAGATGGCTTCTCTTGGTCCCTTGATCTCCTTCTCTCCACAGACACAGACTCTCCACAGTTCTCTTGAGTCACCTGATAGAGATCGCTTCTAGAGGATCTACCAAAATAAATATCCTCCTGAGAACTTCTTATCTTTCCCTTCTCCATTCTACTGCTTCTTCCACTGTAGATTTCTTCCTGAGCAAAACTATAGATTTTGTCAGCATCCTTAAAATGCTCCTCATAGAGTCTCTCCTTGCTGCCCCTCTTATTAGCTCGTTCGTACAACAAATTCTCCTCACTCTTACAGCATGTCTTCTCTACTCTGTCATAGATCAGCGTCTCTGGCCTTGAAGAATACATATCCTGTCGCTTCAGCACATCTTTGAGTGAATTCAAGTCGTAAGATCCGTAATTTTTCTCGCAAACCTTGACGTCCTCAAGCTCTTTAACTGGACTTTGCTTGCCTGGAGTCTCATTTTTCTCAGCTCTGTTGAATACAGGAAGCTTTTCGTACCTATTGGACACTGTCTCGTAGAATCCATTAACCCCAACGTCGTAGATCTTCCCTGTAGAACTGTTAGAATTCGCCACTTCGATATTTTCCAGGACACTAAGGTCCTTTTTACTTCCAAACGTCGTATTCTTCGAATTTTGACGTTCTTCCTCCTTGGAGACCTTCAAGTCGAAGTTCTTCTGGATGGAACAGAAGCTCTGAAGCACTGGACTCGTTTTTTCCTTTGGAGGTGGCTCTTTTCTTCTTCCTCGAGCCTCCAGAATGTCTTCAGCCTTCACGTCAGAGTTCTTCTTCTTTCTTCTGGGGACTTTCAATAATTCTGCTGATTTTACAGTCTCTTCTTCTGTCACAGAACTGCAGACAGACGTCTTCTTGGTACGTGGAGGCCTTACAGGATGAGAAGGAGTGGATATGGCTACCTCAGCTTGGAGTATGTTCATTCTGGCGCCCATTCTGCTGCTTGGACTGGCTTCTCTGACGCTGGAAGCTACCGAGGCCAAGCTCATGCAACCCACGCCATTAGCCTGCCTTGGTCGACGTCTATTCGCGTCAAGATCGGCTAGAAGTGCTCTGTAGAGGGTTGCTGCGGCTGCCACTGCGTCCTCTTCGGTTTCACAGGCGAAGGCGTGGCATTCGAGCACTCTATTGGCCCCTGGTCGTCGCATTACTACAGCGAATATTGGTGGATAATGGTCCGCGGTCGTTTTCAGACCTCGCATAGTCCTGGAGAAAAGTTCACTTTGTTCAAATTATTTTGTTTATGGTAAGTTAAGTAGCTTTCACTTTTTACATTGGTGGAATTGGTTTTTGTGATTTATACCGATAGTGGAGAATAGAAAAAACAGATTGAGATAGAAAGTAGTAGTGGTGGGGGTGTGCAGTTTGGTGACCTTGAGAGACGGTATAATTTCTAACAGACTGTAGAAAAATAGAAACGTTTTTATAATGTCCTGCTAATTCTAACAAATGGAAAAACTTTATGCAAACATATATGTGTAATACATTGTTCAAACAAAAATGTTCGAAATGATCTCTTTCAATAAGAAGAATGATCTTGTTTCCTTTATTTTCCAAGTGAGAATTTTTATCTTTAACATAGAAAAAAGCCATTACAGAAGCACATTCTTTTGCTTAAAAAGTTTCAAATGAACATCCCACGAACATACTGCACATACCTTGAAAATTCTGAATTTTCTTCAACTCCTTCCCTCTTCAACAATTCATCGACTAATTAAAGAACGAACGAAACAAACGACGTTCCATGAGCACACCACACATATTTTCAAAATTCTAAAACTTTTCGAACTCCCTCTTCAACATGCTCTTCAACGATTCATCTACCTGTCCCACACTTACGTACAAACAGAAATTACCCACCAAAATTGCTCACCAGAATTACACCAATCACCATTACGTGAATCCCCTCGAAGTGAACGCTTAATGGTCTCCAGCCTCGACGAGACTAATTGCAACGACACGAAACCATTAATTTCACCACGAGGCGCTTTCCATCGCGTTTGCTCACCTGTACAGGTCCGCGTGCCTCTCCTCGCCTGCCTGGCTTTGCTCGTGATCGCCTACCAACGGCAAGAAAGCGTGATGCAGCTCTCCAGACGGCATCCTCTTGCTGCGCAGCCTCAGAGCGCTCCACACCGCGATTCTACGGAAGGGGCTGTTCTTCTCCGTTGCATCTGACGTGCGAAATGTCAATCCACGCCTTGAAACCTCGAGTTCCGCTCTCACGGAACCTTCTATCCGCTCCAAAAGCTGACGAAGAGGCTCTTGAAGGCCTCTGACACTCGCCACACGACCTCCGACTGGAGCTGCCCCCATGTATTTCACCTGAGTTTTGAAAACGATGGGATTTACATTTTTTTGAAAGAGAAATAAGGTATTTTTGGGAGGAAAAAATTGAGAGAAAAACAGTGACTTTTGAGGAATCCAAGGAGCCTATATTTTCTGACTGAGAAAAATAGTACAGTGGGTAGTACAATTTATGATTTTTAAAGAATCTGGGGAACCTGTGTTCCCTAAGTGAGAGAAAAATAGTAGAGTGAGCATAATTTGTGACTTTTGAGGAATCCAAGGGACCTATATTTTCTGATTGAGAGAAATAGTACAGTGGGTAGTATAATTTATGATTTTTAAAGAATCTGGGGAACCTGTGTTCTCTAAGTGAGAGAAAAATAGTAGAGTGAGCATAATTTGTGACTTTTGAGGAATCCAAGGGACCTATATTTTCTGATTGAGAGAAATAGTACAGTGGGTAGTATAATTTATGATTTTTAAAGAATCTGGGGAACCTGTGTTCTCTAAGTGAGAGAAAAATAGTAGAGTGAGCATAATTTGTGACTTTTGAGGAATCCAAG